ATGTGTCATGGTTTGTGAAGAGGGGTCACCGTGGTCGGTTTCAATATAACTCATTTTTATTTAAACAACGTTGTATTGTGCAAGTACTTACACTGATACCTATTATATACAAACTTTTGGTGATGTCTTTCAAAACAACTCTTGGGTTTATATTAATGTCATGACACAGTTTTTGTGCAGTTCTAGGTGACAATTTGGGTTTTCTTCCACGCTCAGGCAAATCCTCAGTCATGCCAAACTGTTCAAACTTCTTTATAATAGACTGTGCTGTAGATCTAGGGATAGCTAACCAGTTTGAAATAGCACTTTAACAATTTCCAGACTTGTGAAATTTTATAATTCTCTGTCTCAAGTCAATACTAAGCACCTTTGTCTTTACCATCGTGTTGTTAACGTAAGAATAACAATGGTGACATTCTATGCACCACATGATTTTCTTTGCTGGAATTATTACAAATATTCTACTGAATAAATGGTCTAGAAGCCTCCACTGATAAAATAATTATGTAAATTACATATGCTTGCCCAAATAAATCAATTTAAACCAATATTTTCTACTGTACAAATAATTTTATCTTTTTCTGTTTTGCATAATTCACCTGTCAAATTTGTTGGATTTAACCTATTGTTCTGAAAATTGAGTTTATATTCCTTTTTTGTGTTTATTAACATATAAAAAAACCTGGCTTTATGCAGGCATTATTCTGAGAAATGGATAAAAATATTCAGAATTGAAGGGTGTGTGTGTGTGTGTGTGTATATATATATATATATATCAACAATACTATGATTTCTTTTTTTTAATACAAATTCTTGAGAATTTTCAACACTGAATGTTAATCAATCTATCTCATTGACATGAAAAAATGTATACAATTCATACCCCACTCACTTTATATGAAATAAAGCGTATATAGTTCCATGTTTTATTGGTAACATCTGTGGAGGCTTTATGCCCTCATTTACTGCTGTTAATTAGTGCTATTAGTAAAGAATGTGAAAACAGTTTGACTTTTATGAAACAACAACAATTAACTTTTCACCATTTTTAACATAAAAATATTTAAATTTATTCCAGAGCATTGAAAATTCTTTCTTGATATAATTTATTTTGCTTATTGTGATATCAGTCCAACTGAAAATTGAATTTCAATGACATGCCCACATTTTTTCAACCATGTATTTATGGTTAAAATTTCCATGTGGAAAGTCTTTTAACAGCTGATGGAAAATGTGAAAGTGAAATCCAATGGTGCATTGGAATAGTGAAAGATGCCTTCCAAAAGCTAAACAGAGTATTAAAAACTGGAAAATTAGAAATAAAGAAAAGAATGCTGAATTGCTATATAATATTAATCCTCCTAAATAACAGTGAATGCTGGACAATTTCTCCACAGATAACAAGGAGAATTGAGGCAATGGATGTGGTTCTTCAGAAGAATGCAGAAAATACCATAGACAGAGTATGTGAATAATGAGGAAGTGTTAAGGAAACTAGAAACAAAAGCACATTTTTACTTAGAATTAAAAAAATCAGTTGAAATTTCTAGGACACCTAATGAGAAAAGAAGGTTTGAAGAATTTGAAGGCAAGAATGGCAGAAGGAAACAGTAAGCAGCCTACCTAATAAGTTTGTATAAATAGATGGCAGAACAGGGACTTGAAGGAATATTAAAAACACATTGTTAAGAGCTACAAAGGCTAGGAAGTTGGAGAGAGTGATGATTGCTCATATTCTGAAGAGACCCTCTACATAAAAAAAGGAATCATTGTCCTTAATTATGTAATATTTTACTGTTCATAACTAGAAAGATAAAAGTGAACTATATGCTATCTGGGATGAAGTCCAAATAATTGACAGGGAACACTGTTGGAATGTAAGAAAATTGAAAGAAGCAGCATATATTAGCTTGTTGGCCAAGCACGTCATTTTTTTTTCTTATATATAAGCAGTTAAAAATTTCGACTAGTACTTGGGTTGCTTGATTTTTGCACAAGAACATTATTTAGATGGTTACGTAAATTTTTTTATGTTCAGATCTAATAAATAGAAAGGAAAGGCATTTCAATGTAACTAAACTAGTAGAATTGGTAAAATTCTTATTCAAGAATTATACAAGTTTCATATTTATTAACCGTTTTTTGTTTAAGTTCACTTTCTTTTTTCCTTCTATATCAGCAGTGGATTTACTTAAGATTTAGTCAAATCTGAGTACAATTGCTTATAGACAGAAATAAGTCAAGTCTGTAGAGATTTTAACATTGTGTCATTCTGTTTGCTTAGCAAAAGTGCTGGGAAGCCCTCTTCACCCAACTTGCACTAAGGTAGCACTGTGTGTCTGCAACTAGCACTGCTGAAATGTATCAGTTTAGTACGTGTATTTGCAACAATGTGTTTTTTTTTGTCTTTTTTTGTTTTGTTTTTTTTTTTTTCAGAAAATATAAGGCTTTTCTTTTTTATTGATTATAAACCTGACAATGGCTGAAGAATATATCGGTTGAAATGTTGCATTAACATCAAGAACATTAATAGATTGCTATTCAAAAGAGTTAAGATAGATATGTTTATAAATTTGTCTGTTGTTTCTCATGGGATTGTCAAGATGTTGCTTCAAGATTTCTGCCAAGAAGGATTATTAGATTATTGTAAAAGTTTATTTTCATTTTATTTTTCTTTCATTTTCTGATGTGCTGGTCCAAAGTGGAATTGGTTTTGGTTGAGAAAGGTAAAGATTTCAGGATTTTATTTTAAATATAATTGATTTATTTGTCATTTGAGGTTTCTTAGGCAAATAGTCCAGATCTATTTTTGAGATGCAAGTCCCTTTCTGAAATTTGAAAGGGTTGATATCTTATCTCAAGGGTATCTTTTAAAACATAGTAGCAGCATTTTATTATTTCAGTGATTCATAATATATATATATATATATATATATATAGTTTCATCAATATGTCTGGTTTAATGGTGAAAATAGTTTTTTTAATTATTATTATTATACATAAAAAAATTTTTGTCAATGAACAGTAAAACTTTCAGACTACATTTTATATATATATATATATATATATATATATATATATATATAAAGGTGGGCCAAAGTAGGTATACACTTCACTTTTTTTTTATATATTACATTTATTTATTACAGTTATATTTGTTTTGTAGCTTAATCTTGCAAGTGCTCGAAATGTCCTCAAGCATCAAGATTTTGGTGTATTAACCACAAGCCTATTTTTTCAAATTTATCACTTATATGATAAATTGTCAACCATGTTGGTGGAACAATGTCAAATGCTTCTCTCTATGCTTTGCACACCTGCTTGGCATTTTCTCTCTTCCAATACTGCTTTAGAATCCACTTTCTTTGTTCTCAACTCAAATTATTTGCCATTAGTCACAATACCTGTAAAAATAAGAAGTCATGTCAGTATATAAATAAACAGTATACATACTTTTGGCCCATTCCAGATAATTGAGAAAAAATTATAAAGTAAAACAAAAATATTCAATAGAAAAACTCATTTACAAAAAAATTTCATGCATGTTCTACAACCATGTGCCATGTCCCTCCACAACTTCCTATTCCTTGTAACTTGTATCTTTTTACTATTCCTTCCACTCCCTGTTCTGAGATCCCTTTACACAAGCTCATTAGGTATGCTATTAGCTGCTTTCCTCTGTCCCTCTTACCTTCATTATATTTTATGAGTGTCAAATTTTATAAGGCTTCTTTCCTCATTATGTATCATAAAAGTTTCAACTGTCTTTTCCTGTTCTAAGTAAAAGTGTTCATTTTTTCCCTAATTTCCTTAAAACTTCCTTGTTGAGTTTACATCCATGATATTCTCAGCATCCTTCTGTAAAACTACATATCTGTTGTCGCAAGTCTCATCTGTGAGGAAGTTGTCCAACATGCAATACATATACAACAGAAAGTATAGAAGGATTGATATTACATAGCTGTCCAACACTCTTTGCTTAGTTTCTAACAAAATTTTCCTGTTTCTTAATACCTTGTTTAGCTTTTGGAAGGCATTTTTTGCTATTACAAAACATCATTTTTTTTTTTTTTCCTGGTTTCACATTTTTCCGTCATCTGTTAAAACACTTTCCAGGTGGAAATTTTAGCTATAAATGCATAGTTGAAAAGATGTGTTTATATACATTTCAATGTGCACATCTCACTGAAGTTCAATTTCCACAATATTTAAATTTTTGTACTTGCTTGATTTTGACATTTCTATTTTATAGCTCTCAACTTGGGATGTTCCTCTTATTGACAACCATACATTCTGTCTTACAGTTGGTTAGGTCTTTCTGCCTACTTTCCTTTACTATATCGTCTAAAAGCCCCTGAAAGTACCTGCCATCAATATAGTATCATCTGTGTATTTTATGTTAAGATTGTGCCCACCAATAATAAATCCCTGTAGGATTTTAGTTCCCTTAGGATTGCCTTGCTGTAAAGTTTAAATAAAACTAGTGAAAAGGCACATTCTTATTATCCACCTGTTTCTTCATTTTATATACATGTTTAATTCATTTTCTATATGTATGGAGGCTTGTTTTCTCCTAGTTTATTTTCTGGCTTACACTAATATAAATTTTTCTCATAGTTCAAATAGATTTTTGTGTCATACCTTATCAAATATCATCTATAAAACACAGGTATACACCATTTTGCATTTGTAGTGATCTCTCTGATATCATTGTAATAAAAAATAGTTTGTATTTCTTGTTCCAGTGTCTTTAACAAAACCATACTGTGCTTGTCCTATTTCCAATCTAATTCTTCTATATTCTCTATTGATCAGAATTTGGATGATAAACTTGGTTATGTGGCTCACTATGCTGATTGGCTCACTATGCATTCATTTGCATCTGGCTTCTTAGGCAGCACTGTTCAACTTAGAAAAATTCAAAAAATGATTATCCAACAAAACTATCCTCAGCTTTGGCATGATCTCGGTACAACCTTGGAATTGACTGCCCAGATCACATGGTTCTCATTCATAGCCATCATATCTATAATGGCAGCCTAGATCATGTATTTAGCATTGTGAGGTTTCTGGTTGGTTTCCCTCTTTGAACACATCCAAATAATAGTCTATAAGGTTCATGCACAAGCAACATGTTTAACTAAAATATGGTTGTTTTTATTTATTTAAATTTATAATGTTAAACAAATATAAAATCTAGAATTTTTATCTTAAGTGTGCTCATATTCCTAGCAAATTTTTTATGCTTCTTTACTTTTTATATAAATTTGAATTATGAGTTTGGTATACTTTTTTTCATTTTTTTTCTTTTCAATAAATCATTAAACTTTATACTCATTTGTATTATACGCATACGTGCAACTAGAAACTTAACTGACAAGAAATATAGATGTTAAAATATGTTATCAGTGTGTCTTGTTTCAATAATGTGCTTGGTGTTTTTGAAATAGAAAATTTTTATATGTTCCCTAATGTTACCGAAACTTAAATCATACGCACATACACAATTAATTTTATTATCTATAACCTTTGTTACATTTATTTATATACCCATTTAATATACTAAATATATTGTGAAACAGATCACATCATTATTTTTTAATCTGGTTATGTCCGTCAGATGACACTCATGAAAACAAATTGCCAAGAAGAATGTTTAATTTTGTTTTTATCTATCAACTCAATAGTTTTGATTTAATCATTAGGATAATTGAAATGTATGTGCAATGGAGATGTTATTAATTAATTTTTTTTTTGGTCTTTTTCTTTGTATGTTTCTTAAAGAAAATACAAAAAACTGAATAAAAAAAAAAACAACACACATCACCTTCTGTGATTTTTTTTTTTTTTTCCCTAATACTATTATTCACATGATACAAGGCCCAAAAGCCACTTAAGGAAGATGGTTACTGTATGTGGTTTTAAAGGGAGAAAGTAAGAATTGTGTATTATGGGGATATGTAGGATAGATAACTATTGACCTTAGAATTGTAGTGATTTGGAAAGCATCCTCTTTGGAGTCTATTCCACAAAGTAATAGTTCTTGGTGGGGAACTGTCTTAGTGGCACTTCCTCCTTACCAATGGAATGCAAATTTAGTATTTAAGTTACTCTATACAAACTTCAAATCACATTGTAGAAAACATAGAGGTTTTTATATTACCAAAATTAAAAAGTAAACTCTATTGTAAACTGAAATTTGACATTTCTCTCTGAATTTCTGAGATAAGAAATCATTAGGATACACCGATTTATTTGAACTGTGTTTTTATCTTGATTTGTTATAGAATTGAACACCATATGATGAGCAAAGGACATGGATTTAATCCCCTGAGTCAGGCAGTGAAATTTATATACTCTAATTCAATGCAACAAGCAGAAATAATTTCACAAAGGCAAATTAACTAATACAAGATGTCCTCTCGCATGAACAATACAACAAAAACAATCTTGAATAAAGGGTAAGGTTCAAAATTTCTATGTTACCAAATATAATGGGCATTTAAACAAGGTTAAAGGCTGCAGCAGCTGAAACCAAGATGAGGATACCAGCTCAAATAAATCAGTAAATATTTCTTTTTCAATAAGCTATAACATGAATCACAAAATAGATCAAGATGAAAATAGAGGGAAGCAGGACACAGCAAGAAGAAAGAATAACAGTTGGTTGATGGTTGCCCAATAAATTGCAAACTCAGCAAGGAAATGTCAGATAAAAAATGAGATGATAGAAGGGTTAGTGGTAAAAGGCATAGCAGAGAATAGCACAGTCTTGGTTGTCATGAAAAGAGTTGAGAAAAGTCTGTACTGCACTGAACTCAGAATAGATAAGACAGTGGTTCCCAAATGGTGCAGCAGAGAGGATAGCAGGTGAGCCAGAATGATTGAAAGACAATCGAAGATTTAGAAACAGTTTTAAAAAAAATCATGTGTTAAAAATAAATGATTTCAGAATATTATTTATACATTATTATTTACATCATTTAAAATATTCTTATGGATTACTTGTAATTGCTTGCATGAATCCCACTATAAATAGTTATAAATAATTATTGATTGATTTTATCATTGTGATATTTTTACATTATATCAAGTATTGTGAATATAGTAACTAGGATCTGCAAATTGGAGGAGGGAGTTCTCAATGTTCTGAATTCGAATCTGTAGTTATCTTCCTTTAATCTTCACTCTGGACCTTCTTTGCCATAAGGCTGCTTGTGGCTTTTTACTGGGATTACCCTTTTGCTTCGGTGTGAGCAAATTTTTCATTCTGAAAATGCAGTGCAGAAGAAAAAAACATTGGGAACCACTGGGCTAAGATGATGATTTTCTTTCTGCTGAGTATGAGGCTGGATCAATAAATCTGTAACCTGATGGACTTACCTAAATCCTGATCTGGAATTTTCCCTGTATAATGTTTGATCTATGGGATTAATGAAGAAATGTTGGGTTATAAGTATTGGTAAGGAAAGGAGAGTGATGAAAAAATGTTTCTGTAAAAAAAAAAAAAATTTTTCTTTTTTTTTTTTTTCTTCCTCTCTATCTATAATAAGGCTACAGACTTGTTGGTGTACTTTACATAAATATTTATATTTTTCCATTGTATGCTTGGAACTGAATATCCCATAAATCTGTAACAAATACAAAAAGAAAAGATTTAAAATTTGCCAAAAAAGTATTGTGGCTATGAAGAAAAATACTTAGTTTTGTTATTGAAAATTTAAATTTCAAAGAAGCAGCACCAATTTTGTCCAGTGTACACAACAGTAACACAAGAAGCTTGAATTTTAAACTGATATAAAGAGATCAAAAAGAGAGATATAAGTATGGAAATGTCAGTACTAGTTCCCAGAAAAAGGGAACTTTTTTGATAAATTTGTTTGAACAATTAAAAAAAAATAATCCTTTATTTTTTACATGTTAGCAGCTTGATGTTTCAGCTGTTTTGTTCTTTAATCTTCATCAGGTACATAAGCCATAAAAAATAACTTATTTCTTTGGAAAATGGCAGTAGAAAAAGAGTGGGCTGTTAATATACCAACCAGATCAGTTTATTTCAGTAAAGCTAGATACACAAATGAACCCATACAATCACCCATGTGCACGGGTAATTGCAAACTGCACACAGAAGAGTTCCCTCAACACCTTTACTAAGCAAAGAAAACCAAACTGTGCTGACTTCTACACCTGGCTGACAAACTAATATATACTATTTCATTTGACTTTCTTACTCCAGTAATGCTTTCTGTCCTTCCCTCATTCTTTTCTCTTATCTTTTTTTTTCTTCTTATGAACTGTACACCTGATGCAGGTTAAAGAATGGATTGGTTGAAACATTGTGCCAATATAAACAACACAAAGGATTGTTGATTGTTTTTGTTTAGCGGCATATCAACTGGTATGGTTTATTTAATGTCAAAATCTCAATTTGAAAATTCAAACTTTATAATTAATTCAAGAGAATGACAATATTTCATGATTAAATTATAATTACTTAGCTGTATTTGAGGAGTGAAAACATGTTCAAGACAAAAGAGTTCAATTTTTCAACCAAAATTAAAACTAGTATTAATTATTCTTCAAATTAAAAACAATATATTGACTGCTTTATTAATAACTACACAGCAAAAGATTGTAATACTATTACATAGGTACCTCCACTCAGTTTTGATATTGTGGTTTAAAATGAATTTTTAAAAATGAAAGTATTCTTGAGGCTTTCTTTTTAGCTCTAATTGAAAGCTAAATGATTAAATTTACTATTTCCAGTAAGCAAAATACCCTGGTGTATTTCAAATAGAAATTATATTGATTGGAATCTCAACTGTTTAGTCATTTTCAAAAATCATTTAAAATCAGCCATTTTTGACACATTTGCAAACAAAAGTTAATTCTCGGTTTTAAAAATCTTCCAAAAATAAAATATACTTTTCTGAAACTTTATTTCAGGAATATTAGCCGATTTAGAGTATAATTAATCGGATTTGAAAAAAAAAAATTATTTAAGTTTAAAATGACGGAGAAATGAATTTTTAAAACAAAGTTTTTATCTCTTGTCAATCACTTACACAAGACATTAGTTTGCAATACTAACTATATGCACAAAACATTAGTTGTGAAAAAAAGTAAATATTAACTAGTTCCTTTCAGCCCTAACAGTACCAAGAGAATCTTTTTATTTAAATGTGTAAATACTAAAAACAATCAGTCTTAGTTGAAAACCTATTTGTTTATTTGTACCATTACTACATTCCCCATTGTAAATGTTGGAATGAAATTGAAATATTTGGTGCCAAAGTATATTAATGTTTTCATTACTTTAAACACCAAATGATGTTAATTATGTTCTCCTTTCTGAAATTCACATCTTGTTTTCACTTTGTCCTCTGCACACCGCTTTCCAGTGATACTATTTAATCTCTGACTAATCCTCATTGTTCTAATCTTGGCCTACACATGTCAATGCTGAAGATGTTAAGAAATACTAAATAATTTTATATTTCATTTCTGAACAAACTAGAACTGTCATCACAGGGACAAAATAATACAAGAATAAGCAGATATCCTATATCAGACAAACAATGGATATCTGAAGATAGTCAAAGGGTACTTGACCAAATTTTTTTTTTTTTTTTTTTTTTTAAGCATTTCACCCCAAGCAAGGTGGGAATCCACTAGAACACAAGGGGTTACAGAAGATTTGGAGCAAGATCAGATAGGAGTGATAGAGGAAAGGATAAGGAGAAAGATAGTGGATAGATCAAGGCAACTGGAGATGTCGATTGACATTACATTTGGATAGTTGGAGATTATAGCTCTCAGGGAAACTGGAATAGGGAAGGGAGTTCCACAGGTGAGATGTGCGAGATATGAAACTATTGGAGTAGAAGAGATGCCTACATTTAATAGTTTCAACAGTGAAAGGGTGAGAGTGGGATGCCAGCCTCGTAGGGCGCTTGAATTCATGAAGTCTGGGAACCAGCGAATGCAGCTCCTCGGAGCAATTACCATGAAAGTATTTGTAAAAAAGACAGAGAGGTGACAGCACGTCTGTGAGAGAGTGACTGTAGATGAGATGCCAGAACAGAGCCAATTGTATTGCATATCCGCCTCTGGATCTTATCAAGAATCTCGAGGCAAACAGAAGGGGCTCTAGACCATATATGGCAGCAATACTTCATGCAAGGGCGAATTGTTGATTTGTAGATCTGAAGGATTGATTCCAGGGAGAAAGATTTCCTGGCGCGGCACAGGGAGCCAACTTTCCTTACAGTGGACGAAGCAATTGACTCTATGTATTTGTTCCATAATGATTTCTATAACAATCAAGATAAGAACAATAGTATATACATAATAATGTTTCATATAAAATGTAATCTACTTCTGAAGCAGTTTCAAATGTGTTTTGTATTTCTCTTAACTTCCCAGATTGATTCCTAGAAAGGCAAATTCAGTTAAAACATTGTCACTTGAGACACAATTTGAAATATATAAATAACCTTTTGCTCTTAAACAATTTGCAATCCATAAGAGTAGAGACAAAAATAAATTTTGTCTATAGGTTCATCTGAATAGCCTTGTTTACTCAATATTTTTAAAATCAAAGTTTATTCTTAAAAAATGTTATCTTTCCTTTAAAGATGTTACCTTGTGAATAAACACTTTCTTTCCATTTTGTGTAAAAGTTCATAAAAGCAATAAAAACATTACTCTTGTTTACTGTATATCTGTTTTTTGAAGAGGAAATGTTTACTGCTCTCTGTGCTGTATAGGTATCAGTACATTATTATATGTTATATGCAAGTAATCTATTTGACATTTCTCAAGAAATTTGCAAAACTGTAGTTCTTTAAATTTAAAATATATCTACAAAATTATCTTGAATTATGAAATAAAGCTTTCTCAACTCTAATTAATTTGTGACTAGTTTTTCTTTTGTCTTCATTCATAAGAATCATAAAGAGTAAGCTTTTAACTCCCATCGTTTTTTTTTTCTTAAGAGAGTTTATTATTTATTTTCAATCTTTATATGGACAGCCAAAGTATGATGGTCTGAGTAGTTATAATGGAAAGAAATATTAGTCTAAAATTAACAATGGTTGATATCTCCAAAATATTGAATACTTAAATGCTGGATGGTTTTAAATTAGTCAAGTTAATAAAGGCTTATCATTATCATTAGTCTCATTTCCAGGTGTGGTCAAAAGGTTACTGTGCAAATGAACACCTGATCAGCTTACTCCATGTCTCAGTAGGTATTCATTCTTGGACTAAGTATTCCGAGCCAAGCCATCTCTCTCCCTCCCTATCCCTCTCTCTCTCCCTATCTATCCCTTTCTCTCTCCCTATCTATCTCTCCATCTCTATCTATCTCTATTCAGTAATGAGCACATATGTTAGGATAAAGTTAGAGAAAATAGATGATGCCAGGTCTTCAATTGATATACATTATAAACTAGCAGAAATGTTCATTAGCCGTACTAAAATGACCTTTTTTCTTCTTTTACTTTGCACAAACCATATTTAAAATAGCTTGATAAATAAAGCATATAAAATAATAAATAACTGCATGTGATGTATTATAAAATGTTTTCCAAAACATTAATCTGTTTTGTTTTTCTTTCTTTACTTCAATACATCTGTTACATTCATAAATATTTGTTTTTGAAGCATTGGAACATTTTTTTATTTTTTATTTTTTTAATCAGCTGTCACTATAAAAATAAATAATACTTTCCACTGTATTGCCAGAATGTTAGTATACCAGAAAATTATATTCAGTTTTTATAAATAATTATATTGGACATATCACTTGTCCATCCAAAACCCAACCATTTAAAGCAATGACAACAGTTTGATATTAGTCTTTTATGAAGTGTCAGTTTATAAATTACAGTGTATAAACAGATGCAAATTATTTAATGATGTCAGAGACCTCTTTCATACCTAACCTGCTACCTTTCAATTAATTGAAACATAATTGCTTGTTGGTAAGGAATTCTCAGACATCTTGGCTGGCAGTTCTTTGGCTTGGTCTATAAAAGCTTGTTTTCGACTGAACTGCTAACCTTAACCTCTATGTTTAAACAGCAGAACATCAACAAGCTTGATAGTGTCACTGACTCTTTAAACAGTGATTAATTAAGAATTGCAAAAGAATTTCTTTCAGCAAAATACAGTGTAAGAATACAAGTTGAGAGAATTTCCCCGATTGTAGTTTCCAATAAGACTTGAAAACAGATTGAAAGACAAGGATTAATAGCCATTAGTCACAACAATGAACTTATTACCATGTCTGACTTGATACACTCTTGTCTTATTTTCCTGTCTCAGATCAAATGTCCATTTTTAATGTTAAATGATCACAACCTAGAGATGGGGGGGTGCTGATACGCATGTTCCTCTACATTGTAATCATCATAGATCCCACAATATTGATTGATTTGTATTCTATGTCTTATCAACTCATGGAAGGTTATAAAGACAGTTATTTTTTTTTTCTTGTTGAATTAATAATGGTTTTAGTTATACAAGTGTTACAAATTAATCCATAGCTGTAGGAGAATTGGTAGATTTATTCCTTTTCCAAGGGTATTTGCACATAAGTGAATATAAAGAACCCAATGGAACTTGGCTCTCAGATTAAAAATTCCAACCCATTGTCCATTACCCCAACCACGCATCCAAGCTTAGAGTATTCCCAAATGGTTACTCATCACGGTACTGACCAGGCTCAACATTGCTCAACTTCAATGATTGTTTGGGAAGTAGTGTTTTGACATGTGACTGTAAGCTCCACAATATTTTTAAAAAATCTTTAGCAGAACTTTCAGGCTTTGTTTTGATTCCCCCCACCCAGTACTCTGGTCATTTTAACTTAGCAAATATGTTACCAAATTATTTTCTGTATCTAAATACTAGATTATTTAGAAGAAAAAAAAACAAAGTAGTTGAATAGCAGTCTTGCTAACCGCATTTTTCTACATTGACAAGTTTAACAAATGTAGATGTCAGCAACCAAATTTCTTGATAAATCCATGTATTTGATTGAATAGTTTATAGATAACTAACAATTCAAAAGACTTATTTATCCATTAACTATTGTTCCCTTTTTTTCTTTTAATATTGAGCACTTTGTTTACAAAAATGTGCTCATCCAGTAATTTATTGTTAGATGTTAATTCTTTTGTTTTTGTTGAAAAAAAAAATATTATTAAGGAGAGAGAACAATAAAAGAGTAGGAATTAAGAGAGAAGATAACAGTTGACACTGCATTTAAATTTTTAAAGATCAAAGTTGACTGGAAAGCCAGAAAGAGAAAAGAAACTGTTAGCATAGAACTTAGTTACAGCTAACAATTTCAACTGTAAAATGATATGACTTTGCTGCCAATTTAGTACTGCACTTAAATTTATAAAGTTGAGGTACCAAAGAGAAAGCTCATCAGAACAATTATGAAAATATTTATAGAAAAGTTACAGGGAAGCTATGCTATAGCAATGGGAAAAATGACTGAAGCCAAGGTGCCAGGTCATGACCAATAACATTGCACATTCTTCTTTGGACTTTAATAAGGTTCTCTAAATATATAGCAGAAGCACCAAACCATATGTGACAGAATATTCAATGCATGGACAAATGGTCAATTTATAAGTAAGATAGATTCTGGTGAAAAATTGTCTAGCATGACACTGTGAACCAACTTTCCTAGGAGCAGACATAACAGTTGATTCAATATAATCTTTCCACTTCATGTCAGCTGAAAACATTAGCCCAAAAAGACACAATGAGTCACTCTCCTTGAGGTTAGCATCAGTCATGCTAATGGAAGGTAAAAAAAAAAAGTTCTCAAAGATGTTTTAAAAAAGAGCAATTTCCTATTGGAGGTATTAAAATTAAGAATCAATTTCTTATAATTTCTTATGCTTGAATATAAAATGTGTACTTACATTACATGCAAGAAGTTACTGTCGGTCAGAAAATATTATGTATGATACTTATACTCATATTTGATATCAATCAAACTGCCCTTTTTCTCATTGGCTAATATTGCTCAAGTTTTAAAGCTGTCTGCTCTATCAACCCAGTTTTTAATTTTGGGTTGATAGATGCTTATTTTTAAATGGATGCTAAATTGACTTTAAAAATCATTTCAGGGAGGGAAACACAAAGCTAAGTAACAAAAGGTATTTTTTTATGGGCATAAACATATAATAATGTGTCTGTCTGTTTGTAGCTAAAGTTTTTTTTTTTATTGTTTGCAATAACGAGTCCCATGTCTTTTAATTGAAACATTAAACAATCACTAGATTGTTTCCAGTTGGTCTTCTGTTTTGGCAGTGTCATTGGCATTGCTGAAGAATGCGGTCAGTGTTTACCATTTCTGTTTGCAGTTAAACTTAATGTTCCTCTTAACTTCAGTAGCTAACTAGCAATCTTTTAATCTATATTATATAATGATTTTTTTTATTATTAGACTTTTTACTCAGAATTTTTTTTTTTTGTTGTTTTCATGATGACTATAATTAGTTATTCACTTTAACTATGCCCTCAAATTTCGCTATTAGCTATTTTATAGTTAATGTGTAAAAAGATCTAAAACTTAAACCATTATTTGCAAATGACTGGAATTTCAGTCAATGCCATTCTATGGCTCAACTGTGAATGATGAAAATTTCCATCAGTTACACATGCTTTGAACTACACACCCTGCAAATCATAAAATTAATGCAAATGACAATTTATTTTCAAAAGTTACCACTGCCTTTAGAAAATAACAAGTGAACTTCTACTACAGTTAATGGGTTGAAGTAGTTTCATGTTTTGAACTTAATATAAATAACTCAAGTAGCAGTACTTGTGAACATTTCAGTTTTCCTATTTTAATTTCATAATTGAATACATTCCACAACTATAAAATACCAATAGGAATTCCCCTATTACCTTGTTAAATATTTGAGCTTAACAACTTTAACAAAATATTGCAATAACAATCATGAGTATGAATGCAGGTTATTATTTAAAGAATGAAGAGTGAAAAGATTCAAAATTGACAAGATTTTTTCATGTCACAGAAGCAGATGTTAATCTCATGAGAGTATTATCTTTGTTTTTTATAGGATAAGGAATAAATAAATAGGAAACCTTTATAAATCTAACATATTTCACTTTTATTAAAGCTTCATCAGAGAATAAGCTATGGATAAAAAAAAAGAAAAAAAATTATGGTATTTTTAATTTTTTGTCTTTCATTAGTTAAGCATACTTTATGTGCATTTGTCCTGTCAAGCAGCAGTTGTGTGTAAAATTTATGCTTGTAAGTGTATCATGATTTTAATTTTTCTTTCTTGTGTATGCTTGGTTTTTCACACTAAAACCAAACAATGTCTTTGACATATCTTTTTCTTTTGTTTTTATTCACAAATAAAATGGAATGGTCCATTATTTATCTGGGGTAATGGCTGGGTGCAATGCAAAATTTTAATATGATCATTCTTCTATGTACCATGTCCTTTCAGGATGTACATAATCATGACCCCCTCCTCAACTTTCTACCTTTTGTTGTTGTAAGTTACTTTTGACACTTTACCATGTTTATTTTTCCTTGTTATACCCCTGCCAGTCATGCCAACTCGTTAAGTAGATAACTCACTGTTTCCTCCTGCTCTCATACCTTCATTATGTCCTGTGAGTGTTAAATTCTCTAGGCACTCTTTCTTCATTATGTTTTCCCGAAATTTCAGCTATCCCTTTTTGACTGTGAATATCTGTTTCATTGTTTATATTTTCTTTACTTCCTCATTAATCACATGTTTTGTCCATGATGTTTTTAGATGCAGTTCTATTGACAAATGCTATGTTACTTAAAGTTCCTTCATCTGTGAGAGGATTGTTCCGCATTCACTGTGAAATAGGAGGATTGATATTACATAGCAGTTCAGCACTCTTTTCTTTTTCTAACAAGATTTCCTTGTGTTTTAATATTTTGCTGCTTTATTTCATTATTCTCACGTGGCTTTGGATTTCTGTGTGACTTTTTCTATCATCTGTTATGACACTATCCAAATAGTTAAATTTTTTGTGTTAATTATTGGATAACTTATAAACAAGCAACATTTTTATCATTATTATGTAATTAATGCCATCATTAGGTGTTTTTTTGCAATAAATATTTTGAATTTTCCAAATTAAACTGAAATATGAAAGCTTTCTCACTTACCTAGATGCCTGCTTATGAACTTAAGCCAACCATGTTTCTGCCAAAACTAAGGAACTAGCTTTTTATAAGCAACAATATCTACCCCCAAAATAGAATAGTACCCAAATGACTTGTAAATGTGGTTGCCACTTGAGTTTGTTAATATAGATATCAAAAACTGTAGTTAGAGTAAAATTGAATGCTTCCAGATGAAGTCATTCTCAAATCTAAAAATCATAATTATATGGTCAATAAATGCATATATAACAAACATATATTTTTCACGTTTCTTTGAAAAGAAAAATACTATTATGTCATTAATATATATCACTATCAGTGACTATTTTTGTATATATTCTTTTGAGTTGTATTTAAGTTTATTCATATATTTTTCTTTCTTTTTTTTCCTTTTCCTTTTTTTACTTCTTTTTTCTTTTTTCTCCTTCAAAAGCCAAAACAAATAAGCTTATAGGATGTGGATGTGATTTCATAAAAATTGGATATTTTGTTTTGTTTTTTAAATTCACACACTGAAAAGCTTGATTCATATATGAAAAAGGAACTCCTGATTACAAAATTTTTTTTTTTTTTTTTACATTTTAAAAAATTGTGATACAGACATTTTATTTTGGCTTTCTTAAAGGATTCAATTCTATCTATTAACTTTATTAAAATGTGGTAAAAAAAAAATTTGATGTTCACGATCTGGAGTGCTTAATCTATGGTTATATGAAGAAAAAAATTACAAAAATTATTACTTCCGGTTTCAGTGTCTATTGTACAACTTCTATAAAATTGTGTAGTATTTCTCTCTTTCCTCTGTTTATCATTATTACAAATATGACTTCATAATCTTATTTTAAACATGACTTTGTCTTGAAGTAAGTATTAAAAAAAATCATTAGTAAGTTTGATCACAATGTTGTTTAGTAAGTAATTTTAGATTTTTGAAGATAAAACAATTTAAAGAAATTTCTCTTGAACTCATAAAATTTAATTGTTCTAAAGAAAAGTAGAACTTTTATGTAAATAACCTAATTATTGTAGCTGGAGAAAAATAAAAACTCATTGAAATTTTTGAGAATGGGGGTTGTGGTGCTAAAAAGATTCCACTGGCCAAATGACTAAACATCAGATATATTTTTTTTTTTTTTTTTTTAATTGGTTGGATTGAAAAATGTTCAACATCACTTTGTAAATAATAATATACATTTCATATACAAGCAGTAAAGTAGAATAATGCATTATCTTTAATCAATAAATGACATTAAATTAAATAAACTCGATTATCCTTAAAAATAAAGAAAAAGATGGCACCTGTTTAATAGATTTGTTACTGACACCAATGGTCAGTGTTCAAAACCTGGATTTCAAATACTAGTTTCTCAATTCAAATACATGGGCCTTTTTTATTTTAATTACTTTATATGGCCTTGTGCCATTGTAAGCCAAATTTAGTGAGTCACTATTTTTATCCAAAGGGATTTTTGTATTTTAAAAAATATTATTAACTAGTCAGTTGCAATTCAAGCCTGAAAGAAATGTTAAGTTTTGAGTTTTCATATGCATTAGACTCCTCCTCTTACTTTAGTCTCATAGACTCCACTAAGGAATATGAACCTATATCTCTCAACAACACTAGGTTCTGCTACTGTGGTTTCCATAGCAAGTAAGCTTTTACAGGATAAAGTTACTAGCCCCATGCCCAACTGATTTTATACCCAGTTTTTGCTTGCAGTACCTAGTGTTCCCAAGCAGTCCTCCATCTAAGTACTCACCAGGTTTGACACTACTTAACATCCGTGATCAAACGAGAACCTGTTTTTCAATGTGATTTGATCATAAGCCATTTAACAGTCAGTAATTGAATGACAAAATAACAAAAATTCTATGTTTTGCCTTGTCCTTCAAAAGGATTTCTTCAGAGGAAATATTTTTATTCATGGAATCATGGAATCATACATAGAGGAAATGAAAAGAAATACAGCAAATGTTGGTTATAATTATGCATCATGAAAAATGCTGATTCCATCAACAAAAACATTATTTTAGTCTGAAGTAAGTCCTTTCAGAGGACAAAACGCATAACAGAATTTTTTCCATTTTGTCACTCAATTACCCAACATTATTTTGATATATATTTTTCCCATACTAATTAGTTATAATTTTAAAATCTTTGCTTGACTTTTGAATATTCATTTTCATGATAGTGTCTCATGATCACTTGCTTTCAGCCAAATTCTTGAGGTTCCTGCCAAGTTACAGGAAAATGTCTTAAGAAAAAAACAAAACAGTTATGTCTGCAGATAGCAGGTTGTTCTCTCACCATGTAAACCAGATACCATTTAAAATTTTTGCCAGCTAAATTTAAAATTTACTACACTATTTACCCCCCTGTTTTATTTCCATTTCTTGATTTTTCTTCTTTTTTTTCCCCAGTCCTCAAATGACATCAGTTGGTGCTACCATTTTTGGATTTATATTGACTTCACCTTTTTACACCAGTTTTTCTGTTTTATCTTTCTTTTCTTTCTTTGTCACTTTGTGTTTGACTTTGTTTATTCATTCTCCAACCTTTTCATATATTTTTGTTTCTCATACTGAAAGGCAAACTCAGTTATGAGATGTAATATTTGCATCTGATGCCAACAAGTCTGTGATATCATCCTTTTAAAATTCTGGCTGCTATTTATCTGTCAAAACCATTTTTACCTCCTACTTTGCATATTATTTACATAGATAACTGTTGGCTTTGCTTAAATGTTTCAACCTAACCACACAAATCTTACAAATGCTTTACTGGTTACTTTTAACCATTTTTCATAAAACGTTGATCATCTAAAACAGGTTTGCTTTATTAAAAAAAATTTCTCTGATATAAATTCCAGTGATACTTATTAGTGTTTGTCATGTTTGATATTAGAATCACAAAACTGATTTTCATAATTTGTTCTCTTTTTTTTTTTTGTTGTTGTTTTTTAAGTCATTGATGGGTTGTATTCTGAGTTGGAGCTGCTCAATCTTCATTTTTCAATCTTGATAGAGTTCAAAATCATTTCAATGGGCTTGTCAAGGAAGATTTATTCTCCACTTTGTAGCCTCTTTCTCACAGATCCAACATTGCAAGCCTATTGTTACTCTATTGCTATTTCCATGGCAACTATTCAAAAGACCTCCATTCTTTAGTTCCACCAGTTCAAACCTTTATAGCTAGGACATGACATGCCATTTCCATGACTTGAATTACCCTCATTTCCACTATATTCCAAATGTAAGGAAAAACTTTCACTCAAACAGCTTCTTCACAAGAACTGCTTCTCTGAAATTAACAATATTAACCTCTTCAAATCTATTTGTTATCCATCCTATATCCTCTTAATCTTAACTTTCTATCACCTCCTCTTTCATGCATATCACCTCATTCATCATAACCCTTTCAACAGTAACCTTCTACTTTGAGTGGCTTTCAAGCCTTGTACTAGGTGAACTTTAGTATAAAAAAATTATCTAATAGTAAATTATAAAGTAATAAAAATAATGTTCATTTTCTCCCAAATAAGGCAATAAAGCCTCTAAGATGCAAGGATTTACTGAGTGTTAGGAAAAATAAAAAAACACAATATTAAGGAGAGAGAACAATAAAAGAACAAGAATTAAAAAAAAAAAAATAAAGATTGACATTGCATTTAAATTTTTGAAGATCAAAGTAAACTGAGAAGCCAGAAAAGTCCCACAAGTGAGAAGTGCAATAAAAGAAATTGTTAATATAGAACTTATGGTTACATTCATTTCAACTGTAAAATGATGAGACCTTGCTGCAAATCCAATTAGGTTGGATTGATTTGAAGAGGTTAACTTAAATACTGATATCTTTTATTTATTATTTCAATATTTTCACTTATATATCTTTAATTTGATATTTTCTCCTCTTACATATTACTCACTTTTGCCCTGCATTTCTGTACAATACATTGAGTTCAAGATTTAGAACAGGATTTCCTATTATTTAATTTAAAGACAGTATTTTCTCATGAAAACTTCTACAAGCAAATGTATTTGGTTGATATAAAAGTTATCATGCCCTTTTTTTCACTGTTAGGGAAATCTTAATTCCTTTTGGGGTTTAATCAATTCTCTATTGCTTGTTCATGTAATCTCTAAAATTTGTGGTGATAAATTTATTTTAGTGAAAATTGTGGCAGAATATAGAATGTACATTTGACATTGTTTATTTCTTAATTTGAGATAAATGAATCAGCTGGTCACTGAAACTTATGATAATGATGCAGTAGGTGCAAGCATGAGTCAGGAATGGTTTGCAAAGTTTATAAAAGATTTTGAAATCTCTAGAAGACTTTTGAAGGAAGATGAAACAAAAATTAAACAAATCTGTCAATTCATTTAAAAAAAATATATATTAGGGCATAAAAGATCTTTTATTGAACCTGGAAGCCAAACAATATAATTTGATAACTAAATAATGATGATATTAAATTGTGAATAACAGATTTTGAGCCAAAAATGTTTTAAACTTTTCCATTAACCTATTACTAGTACTAAAAAAAATAAAATAACCAATTCTATCTTCTAATTCTGATTTGTTTATTAATACATTTTTTTTTTATTTTCAGGTGGCTATAAAAATCATTGATAAAACTCATTTGGACCGGGAAAATCTCAACAAAATTATACGGGAAATACAAATTATGAAATTATTACGACATCCACACATTATTCGTCTTTATCAAGTTGGTATTTTATTGTTCTATTCTAATAATGTTAATATGCATTTTTGTAACTGTGACACTCTTTCAATTCGGTTAACATTTTCACATTAATTACTTAAAATTACATTAAAAATCTAATGTTACCTGTTTTTATTTAATCTAAAGCCAACTTTCTTTCTGTGTTTTATATATATATATATATAAAATTGAAATCAACCTTTTTCTCTGTGTGTGTGTGTTTTTACTTTGCTTCTTTTTTAAAAGAAAATACATCCATAAGCAATCTTAAGGAAGATTTTCCCACTGACTGACTGTTTTCTGCTTCATTAAAATTGGTAATTCCTGTTTCCCTAACTAATAGTAGGGAGACCCTAAATTAATGTCTCAAGATCCATAAACACATCAAAGTGGCAGGAACCTTCAGGAGAAACTTTTATTGTATTTAATTATTTACTTTTTCAACATCATCCACCTCCTCCTCCTCCTTCAACATACAATATTGTTCACTAAAAAAGGTTAATGCAAAATTTATATGAAATAATTTGCATATATTCTTTCATGGAATCTGATCCCCATCAGATTTCTCTTTAATGAGAGATTTAATGTATGTGAAGATCAGAAACCATAAAAAATTCATTGCTAACCTACATCATCATACGTTATCAAATCCAAAAGGCCTATATCAGATAATGAATATTATTATTTCTGAGAAGAGAAATCATCAGTAAAAAAGTGGGGAGGGTCAATGAATAAATAGAAAAAAACTAGTTACTTTCTTCTATTCAGCTATTCATTGACTCCTTTCAGTAAAAAGTTTTTCCGTTTTTGTTCTTTTTTAACTTGAGACAATTATGGAAGTCTGATTGTTAACACATTTACAGCCACACAATGCATGTGTCTGGTAGCATTTTCTGCATTGCCTATGGCACACAAATGTAGCACAAATCAAAGCCAATGCTGAGGTGACATATTAGTGTCATACTTTATAGTCTTATAAATTTTATTTATAAAAATAAGGCATAAGTAGTCTTTTATGTAGCAATTTTCTATTGGTAACTTTAATAATAATGGATGCCATTATGTCAGGGTTTGAATATCTAAGGCCACAGTGAATGTGTTAAAAAAAAAAAAACAATTTTAATATCAAATTTCAAGATAAGTGAACATTCAAAGAAAATACTTTTGAAATAAAATTAATCTTGATGTTATCATCTATTAAGAAAATAAACTGGCAAAGCAAGAGAAAATGTTTCATGTTAGATTAGAAAAAAGTACTCCATATATATATATATATATATATATATATATATATATATATATATATATATAGAATTAATAAAATATAAAATTTGCCACTTAGCTGATTGACGTTACCTTTTATTTATATTTTTATATATATATATATATATATATATATATATATAAAAAAGACAGTATTTTTTCATGAAAACTTCTACAAGCAAATGTATTTGGTTGATATAAAAGTTATCATGCCATTTTTTTCACGGTATTAGGGAAATCTTTATATATATATATATATATATATATTCCTTTTTCTTGTATGTATATAAGGGTGCTTCATTTTAAATACTTTTTAATATGCATAAAAATACCATTTTCTTTATCATTTACCTAATCTGTTTGTGTGATTTTCAAAATGGGTGCTTGTTTGTTTTCCTTGGATGATCTCAAGCTCTGCAGTTCTTTTTCATGCTTTTTACTAAGAATATGTCAACATGCTGACAATTCAAAATAATTTAATTCCTTTTGTTTATTTATTCATTTCTGATTTTATATATATATATATATATATATCTGTGTGTGTATGTTTTAGCTGAGAAAATTAGTGAAAGAATGTCAACAGTAAAAATCAAATGTCTTTTAATAGTTAGAAAAATCAAAGTTTGATTATCAATCATGGATTAATTGATTTTTTTTTTTTTATGATTTCCTTTTTAAATACACCTTTCTTTTTTTGTTGTTATAAGCAACTTAGCATTTTAACCAGTACTTTAGTACTTTTATTTTTGTGCAAGTATTAGTACTGGAATTGTTTAAAATAGTTGCTTTATTTTTTTTATGCTCAAGTCTAATAAATAGAAAAGAAAGAAATTTCAATGTAACTGAACAAGCAGAACTGATAGAATTCTTGAATGCAATATAAAATAATATATTTAGTAGCACTTTACGTTTTTCTTTATTTCTTTTCATGCAGGTATTGAAGATCTTATGTTAGGATAGTATGATTGTGATGAACAGATTTATTTTTTTATAAACAGGGAATTTTGACTAATACTTAAGTTAGTTAATTCCTACACCAGAATTAATACTCTAGTTGCTTAAATGGTTGCTTATATTTTTTATGCTTATGTCTAACAAATAGACCTAAGGAAAAAGAAAAATACATTTTAATGTAAATGAATTAGTGAAATTCTTGAATACCATATAAAATAACATGTTTAGTAACTATCTTTGTTTAGCGTTAATATTCTTCCTTCTTAGGTCTTTCAATTTTAATGAATGTAACCTCCAACTTATAAAACCTAGATATTTTTTTTTTAGATGTTTATTTTTAATTTTATTTTTTAAAGATAGGGAAGGTTTTTATGTCTTCAAATATAATAATGTTAGTTTCTCATTTTTGTAATTCTGACATGATTTGCTTTTCTCTCTTTAGGCTGAACTTTATACCCGTCTATATTTCAACATTTATTTACCAGTATTTTCTAACTTAGTAATTTTACCATCAACTATGAATCTTTATATTTTGTTCCTCAACTCTTGTCTCACCAGAGCATTAGCAATTACTTTTAACCAGCACCAAAGAAAAGAAATTTTCTACTTGGATTTTTTTTCTTTTCATTTTTTAAGACAATAATTTAAAAAAATATTTTCTCAAATTTCATCCATATAAAAATATTCCTTAGAAAATTGATTGCTGATTTTTACTTAATGTTTACATTAACCTATTGTTTCAAGGATTGCTTTTAGCCAAAAATTAACCGGAGTTATTTTCACATTTTTAAAGAATTATAGTGATTAAACAATTGAGTATTGTAGTTTCTTTCCTTGAACTTTAATTTTTTTTTTCTCTGTAACTCTCAATTGAAAGTTGGTAATTTTTCTAGTTTCATGTTTTTCTATATTTTCCATATAATATTTAATCTTTCATGTTATATTACTTCTTCTGCTTTCTCATATTCAGAAATTTATTGTCTAAATTAACTGAGTCTTAATTCGTTCTTTAAGAATCTTGAACAAAGATTTTTGTAAATTTATGTATGCCAGTCTTGTTACATTGTTGAGTGCCATCGTTTGTTTCTTTTGTACTTAGAGATATACCCTATTTGACAGCATACCTAAAAATACATATTTAAAATAAAACTATGTAAATATCCTGTATCCAATGCACTGGTATTATAACAAGGGAACTGTGAGCTTTATTGTCAAGTATAACTCTTAAAATGATTAAACTTTCATAGATGTAAACTGGTAAATTCAAATTAATATCTGTTATACACTTTCAATCAAATAAACAAAAAAATGGGTAAAGTTTAACAAATGTATTAAAAAAATGATGTATCAAAAGGATGTTTTTTTTTCTCTTGACATCACTATTAACTGTATACTCTCTTTTATTGTTTTAAAAGGCTATTTTTAGAATTTGAATAAAACCCAAATATATGAAACTGGATTTATGCATTTTCTTTTCTTTTTTTTTCTAGCAAATTGACAACAATATATTAAACAATATTTATTAGATTGTTTAATTGCAAGTTTATAAAAATATATGAGCCAAATACAATGCAATATTTGTCATTTACCATTATTATAAATAAATAACTATGAAAACAATTTTGTTTTTCATAAATTTATAAAAATGACTGAACATTTAACTAAACACATTTAACAAGTAAATGTAATTTATAAATTTTGAAAATGCATTTTCTGAACATTATACTCTCAGATTATTTTTTTTAAATTTTAAAAGTGGTATTCATCTAGCTATTACATCCATTGTAAAATTGGCAATTATTTTAATCTAAAATTTTCTTGTCAATTCTCAAAAAAAGGCAAATGTGTAAATCCAGTATCATTAAAAATAATTTTGTAAAACTATAAAAATTACCAAGGAAATATACAGTAATAGCAATGTCAAAAGGAACCTTTTTTTTTTCTTTTTTTTTTTTAATGGGTACATTTGTTAAACTTTGCCAAAAAATAAATTGGTAGTCACTGGTTTCATATTAGATATGTGCAACAGTCCTCAGGTCTTTGTAAAGTTCAAGAAAGATGAGTTTGACAAACTACACAGCAGCAGACCAGAAGAATTTTGTAAGTTATCACTTGCAAGTTCTTTTTGATTAATCAACATTGAACTTGGCTGAAAAACTTGGTTTTGATTACTCAAGAGCTGTAAAACATTTGCAAAGGAAATGTCAAAAACTAGAGAAAATAGATTCTACTTTTATCCAAGGCAACAGTGAATGTATTCAAAAAAGAACATCAAGTTTCATCAAGATAAGTGAACAATATAGAGAAAAAATACGTCCTTTTCATGAGTGAAATAAAATTAACCTGGATGTTGTAGCCTAATAAGAAAACTGGCAAAACAAGAGAAAATGTTTGTCAGATTAGAAAAATGTGTTCCATTCTACATACATACACACACACACACACAGTTCATCCAAAAAATGTCTACACATTTCAGGAAAGGAAAAACTTGTCTTTCATAGTTTTAGCAAATTGCAATAACACTGTTTACTGTAGTACAATATTTTCTCTGCAGATGTCATTACATTGTCGGCCCTTAGACAAGAAATCGCATATGCAGCAATCCCACTGGACACTTTGGCCAATGTTGCCCAAGCAGTAGTTTGCATTACTAATAAATGTCTGGAAGCTAAAGGCCACCATTTTGAACATTTCTTGTTATTGTAGAGTCCTAAGTTAACTTTTCTGAATCAATGTCTAAATAAATTTAGTATTACATTATCTATACAAGTTTTTCTTTTCCTGAA